TAGACCTCTAGTGGGAAAGAGACCTGTGTAATTTTACTTGATTAAAACCACTGAGCTATTTAACTTGGTTCCTACATTGGGAAAGTCAGTGCAATAAGCCAAGACATTAAATGCTCCTATTACAGAACTGTCACTGTCTCTTTTTTTACCGGGGCGAATTTAACCCAGCTGTCCTTGCACCTAGCAAGGCCATGACCCTTAAAAATAGCGAAGGAATGGTTGGGGAATGTGAATGACACCGTCATCATCTTGCAAGAACTGCAGGGAGCTATAATTCTACAGACTCATCTATTTTGTTTTAAATCTCATTTACATGAAAAAATACCTTTCAGTTTTCATACTATCATACTGCGAATGAACATTAATTTCTCGGTGAATTTATTTATGTTTTTACTTGTCATACTTCAATAATTTTCTTTTAATGTGACCTCAATGCATATCACAAAAGTGGGGCTCTTATCTATTTGAACTTCCAGGAGCTAGAATAAAAAATCTGATTCTTGGGAAAGATGGTATAGCACTGATTCCAGAATCAATGGACTGATTTTTTATCCATCAGCGAATATCCGGTTATCAGGAAATAAGTTATTAATTTCAAAATGTACAACATAAAAAAACCAGCACTGAAAAGGGTCTTAGAAAGTGTTGGTTCAATGCTCTTATTTTTCAGTTGAGGAAGCTAAAGCTCAGAGGGTATAAATTATTTCTTTCTTCTTCTGTTCTTGTTTTTAAAGCCTCACAAATAATGACTATTTGAATGTCACAAGCTACTTATAGACAGAGCCAGGGCTCCTAATTCAATGCTCAACACACATTGTTCTCAGCAATAGCACACTTAGACAATCACTAAAGGTCTGCAGAGTAGGAGCTTCAAATCTTATATATCTTTTGTACACATTTACATTTACTCAGTGGCGTTTATTTCTGCAGCCTGAGCTTATAAACATAGTAAATACCAAACAGGAATGTAGAGCCTTTGTGTGAGACCCTCCAAAAGTGTGAAGCTCCAATGCTATCTAAAGTCATCAAATTCCATTTATGCTCCTGACTGTACCCAACCAGGACAGCTTGGATGAAGAGAAAATTAGTTTGTAAACTGCTGGTTTGCCAAAATAAATCAAGCAGCAATCAGTACATTCAGGTGGGTCTTAGTCTTTACACTAATAATCATTGAGTAATGCATTTTTTTAGTTCATTCAACCAATATTTACTGAGCAGCTACAATATGCTAAGTGTGGTTGTAGACATAGAACAGACAAGAGTGAGCAAAAAAGGCCAAGTCCCTGTCCTCAAAGAATTTACAAGTAGTTGAATTAAAAACAAAAACAAAACAAATAAACAAATGAACAAAATAATTTCAATGCACTTAAGTGCTAATGAAGAAGTTAAACTGGATGGTAGTAATGCGAAAGGTTGGATTTTTGGAAAGGTGGCTTCTTTGAACAGGTGGCACCTGACCTATGATCTGTATGATGAGAAGGTGACAGCCAGAGTGAGAAGTGGAGCAGGAGTATTCAAAGTAAAGAGGAAGGCTAAGTGGAAGGGTCTGACAGGGGAACAAACTTGGGCTTGATTGTACCACAGGAGGCAGAAAGCAGCAAGGTGGTGAAGACACAGGCTGCATATGAGCCTTGAAATGTTCTTTCCTCAAAGATAATGTAAAGATGAACTGCTCTTCAGAAATGAGTCTGAATGCCTCTACATAATTTTATTATTGTACACAGGCAGGGCACATTTCTGCATTAAGAAAGCCATAGTTACTCTAAGTCATGTGTAATTTACTGCATATAGAAAATAAGCCTCCACTAAGTGCTTGTACATGATTTTGCTTACAAGAAAAAAAAAACAACAAAAACCAGTTATAGCATTCCGGTATATACCTGGAATTCAGAACAGCCCTTTGTTTGTTTAAACCTGCACAGGTCCATAAATAGGTTATCATGTAGTTTACCTTGGCCAGCAAGTAAAATATCCGAAGTAACTTCATTACTATTGAATTAGTCAAATGATAAAATGTTCTTTCAAGCATGTGATACATTGTTTTTGGTAGTGCAATTTCTTTTCATATAATGGGTGTCATATTTGTTGCATATAGAAAATTGCACATATATTTGTAATGATTGATAATTTACTAGAAATTAGGCAGCTCTGTAAGGTAACACATCCATGTGTATAAATACAAAGGTCACCTTAGATTGAAGGATACAGATCAAGAATCTGAATTCCAGCTTTTCAACCACAGACCTGTCCGATCAAGCCCAGGTAACACCGTACCCCTCCCTGAATCGCATGTCTCTCTCAAAAATAGACATTACTGCACCTTACTAAGTTGAAGAGACAATGAAACAAAAATATCTAAGTGTCTGGCTCCTAGAATAAATTCAATAAAGTTTAGTGTTTTTTTCCCCCCAATATATTTTTCTAATAAAGGTAGTAGCATTTACCACATGCGAGCAATAATCATGCAGATTTCATTTGTCTCTTTTAATGAAAACTCTGTGGTATTTTTCACATACAAGAAGGATGTAGGACAAAGAAACTGTTTCTAAAGCTCTTCATACATCGAGTCTGAATTAAGACCTAATTTTCTAATTGTTCTGCTGCCTGGCATCACCCCATTCTTACTGTCTAGATTCTCTGCAGCTTCCACTGTGTTTTCTTCATCTCAGACACAAACACGTGCCCCAGTGCAGTAAATCATAGTTAATTGCATGTCTTAAATTAAAAGACAAAAATAATGCACAATTAATTGGGGGAAATTGTCAGTTGGTGAATGAATCTCGCTCATTACACTTTGGGCGCAGGACGCATGCCAAGCGTGTCCCCGGCGAGACGGTGCAGCCCCTGACGCCGAGGGGAGGGTGCCACACCCCCTCGCTGCAGAGCAGGCTGGTCTGAAGAATTACGTGCTCTAATACATTCAACATTGCAATGGCAGCATCTATAGCTTTCTCTGCAAGGGTGCTTCGTACAAGACTGCATCCTAGTGAACAATGAGAAAGAACTAGACTTTTAGTTGAGAAGGGATGGCATAAAGAGACTGGGTTTGGGCCATTAAGGGAAAAATCTAAGCTGTTACAAATGATTTTTTCATACCTGATAATATGCAAAAATGTTTATAACACATTCTTATGTGAAAATGACTCATAAACCAGTATGTTTGGTTTTTGAGGACTTACAATAGATGGAAAAAGCAAGAAAAGAAAGAGTGGAAGAAAAAGGTCCTTGGAAACTATACAATAAAAATGTCAGTATTTATTATTCCTGAGTTGTTTACACTTTCTAAATTTTCTTTAAAACTTTCTAAGTTGTTCAAAATTACATTTAAATTTATTTCTGAATCTGATAGAATGTCAGTTTTAAAGATCCATAAGAATCTTTTAAAATAAACTTAACTATTATAGTAAAAATGTCATCATAAAATTAAAAATAACCTCCACACAATTCTACTATACCCTTGGTTAAATAGACAAAATCAATTCTGTAAAAATGTATTTTGAAAATATTTAAGAAAACTTAGTTCAATAAAATCAAATGTTTAATACAATAATTTATTCCAAATATATACCTTATAGTATATTAATACTCCAGAAGAAAATCACTATAAATCCTTATAAATTTATTGATAATGACAAACTACAAATACATTCATAACAAATTCAATAACCTTGAAGGTAAGGAACTGCAAATCTCTCCTCTCGCCTACTCTCCCATTATTTTCTACCCTGTAACAGAAAGACCCAGCATTGTTCTGATACTGAAATCGGCAATAAGCAACACACACTCACACAGTGTCACATTTTTTACCAAACTACATGAGGACAAATGATAACATTTAGCAAAATACAAACGGTAACTTTTTTGCATTTCACATTTAAAAGAAAAGAATCTACAACACCCAACAGAGTAGATTCATCCTAAAGATATTGAACCGTCTACTAAGCTTGAAATAAGAAATAAACATTGCCTGCTTTCTTTTATTTATCAGGAGGGGTGGGAGTAGAGCAGGAAAAGCTAATCATACTTCAGCAAGAGCCCATAGCTCAACCTCAGGCGTCTTTATGTCCCAAGGGTAATATTTCCATTCCAGTCTTAATGGAACAAATTTCTAATCAGAATATGTATTCAAAAATAATTGAGGCAAGGCAATGTCAACATATCATGCTGCCATCAGCATTCTCTGGTGCTAGGAATCAACTCGGCGCACTCTCTGGTGTGACAGAGCCAGGGCTGCGCAGGAACGTCAGACTTGACGAAGGGAGGGGAGCTCGCCAGGGCGGTAGGAGCACTTGGCTCCTGTCTGGGTGCTTGAGACAGTGTTTGGGAGACAGCTTCTCTGCTGGAACAGGCCAACCTTAAAATGTTTCCTTCAACCTTAAAGCATTTCAAAGATGACTTCAAATGGATCCAGACCAGGAACTCAACTTTCAAATGAGAATCAAAGTCTGCTTTTATAAAATTAATGAGGATTCTTAAAACAACAGTCACTTCCAGAAAGGTTAACCTAGATTTTTAAATTATTAAAACCGTAGGGCACTGCATACTTTTAAATATATTTTGTGATGCCCTGAAAAAGTCCAGAGGCTTAAACTCAGGTTTCTTCAAGTGCGACAGTATATTAGTAATTGTTGTAGCTGGGTGATGAGTAATAGGAGCTCATCCTACTAAACCTTCTACTTTTAAATGTTTGACATTTTCTTCATAAAAAGTAAAAAAATAGATATCTTTTGATATATTTTATGTTCACAATTTTATACTCTTCTTTTGCAAATACATGAGATGTGATTTATGCTTACGATTACTTAAGCCTTTAACAAGCAGTCTGAAATTTTTTAAAAATCCACCAAGCATAATGTTGATTATAAAAAAAATTCCTTCATTCCTGAAACAACTGTTCCATGATCTCTAATGATAGAAGAAGTGCACCTAAACAAACGCAGTGCCACCATCTGCATTCTCACAGTGTGACAAAATAGACTGGTAATTAACTGCTTTCCTACCGAAATCTGCCAGCTTTAACTCCCCCGTGTCACTGATGAGAAGGTTCTGTGGTTTCAGGTCTCTGTGCAAAATATAACGCTGGTGGATGTAAGACAGCCCTCGCAGCAACTGAAATAAAAACAACTGAAAAAATAGGGAGACAAGAGTTAAAATCTGAACACAGATAAATGCCAGTTTCTACATACAGTCTGCCAAGTACTTGTATTTACTGAAAAGGGATACCCATTATTGAATTGCCTACCAAATTATTCAAACAGAATGTGCACAAAGGTATGGAAATCCCTCATTTATTAAGAAGTAAATCTGAAAATTTCTAACAAGCCATCATATCAACCCAGGGAGCAATACCTCCTCAGCCAGAGAGATCTACAATCCGATCTATAGTCTATAAATCAAATAAAAATATAAAGAATCAATTCTTTATAATATCTGATTTCCTCAGGCCTAAATTAATGTTTGAGGAAAAAAACTATCCATAACATTATAAAAAGTAAAATATTTTTACCAAGTTTATGTAAATGTGCACATATTTAACTCCATAGAAATGGCATAAACATGATAACCAAGGTTTGCCCATTAACATGTTTTAAGGAATGAAAAGATAAGATGACTTAAAATAATTAAAACAAGAACAGTCACATGGTCCAATTAATACTACATTGTAATTATACTGCTTTTGCAAATATGGCCACAGAGATTAGGCCGTTGCCTGAAGACAGACATGCCCCTTCACTAATTACAGAGCAGACCCTTCCGAAGGGAAAAGGAAACTCAGAAAACAGAAAAACCAAGAATTCAAGAGTAATACTTTTATAAGTAATCATTTTAAACTTCTTAAAAGTTTAAAGGACGGATGGCCTTCTCTGTTCAGTTTCATGTTGAATCATATCACATGTTTCTATTTTGATAACAAAAAAATGTGATTCACTAGCCTTTCCAATATTCTGTTTATGAAAGAAGGGAATATTTTTAAACAATTTACTGGCCAAAATAATCCTAATTGATATAGTTTTTAAAAATCAATCTCGCAAAGCAAAAATAAAAACAAATGCTTTGAATGCCCCCAGTGTTCCAGTCTATATAGTTAGCTGTAACAAAAGGCAGTTTCAGGAAAATTTTAAATGAGTTAGTAGTGGTCAAAGATTGATGGTGTCAGGATTCCAGAATATTCAAATGGAAAAAGACTGGCAACTCCTTGAGGGGTTTGGAAGCTAGCATTTGTGGAATATTTTCCTACTAATGAGGGGCTGTAAAAGCCAAGTAAATTGTTTTCAGGGCAGATACCTTGAAATAACAGTAAGATGAATTCATTTCAAAATCTTTGTATGTAGTAATACGCTGTGGAAAAGTCAAGACCAAGGATCATTATTTCCAGAATCTAAGCGCCAGGAAGCAGAAGTCCATTCTGTGTTCGACTACATTAAATTACTGGCTCAAGCACCTTAGGAAGCAAACATTTCTGAGAGTCCTCCTCTCAGTCCTTCCTGGGTGGCAGATGGAAAGACTTAAAACACCATCACCAGCAGCTCCTGGCCTCCTTCTTCACTTCTAATAGCCTCTGCATCCTGAAGCCTACAATTGAAGCTTACAATTTCTAAGAAAATCCATATTCTTTCAGTTCAGAAGGGAAAAAGAGTGAGCAAATAAAGCCACTTTGTTTCTTCAAAAGCTTTAAAAAATAAAAACAAAAACCAAAACCAGACAATAAACACAAAGGCAGACCACATAAATTTAATTGGTGAGCACACAATGCAGTAATATACAGATGATATATTATAGAATTGTACACCTCACTTACATAATGTTATTAATGAATGCTCCCCCAATAAATTAAATTAAAATTTTTAAAATTTCAAAATAATAGTCTGATTTTGAAAAGAAAGTTTAGCATTTGACCAGGTGCTAACTAATTTTGGGGGCGTAGCAGAGGCTTCTCAGAATGTGATTGTCTATCTAGCCGTGACAATGCATTTTAGTGTAACGAACACACACAGAGCCAGCTGCCATTCTATGCATCATAGAATATGAGCTCATTTAATCTCTGTAACGATTTTAATGAAGAAGGTACTTCAATCGTCTCTGCATTAGGGAGGAGGAAACTGCGCAGTTCCTCAAAGTCACACAGCAATTAAGGGGCAGAGCCCGGGCTCAAACCAGTCAGTCTGGCACCAAAGGCCATGCCCTTAACCACCATCCTACAGGAACATTGGCCAGAAATCAAATCAAGGAGGCAAAGTATTGACATAGAAGCTGCTTTACAGGATAAAGCCTGGGTATTTGGTACCCTGGCCTTCAAGGCCACTGAGCTGAGCCCTGATGCCTCCGAGGGCTCAGGCGACATCACCCGACATTCCCTGGCACCAGGCAACCCCACTAACCCCACGCTCAGAGGACACTGCTCCTCAGCCTTTACCTCTGTCCCTAACTCTTCTCTGCCAGATATGCCCTCTCTCCCCTTTGCCTGCTAATCTCCCCATGAATCTTAGTTCTCCCGGAAGCCCCCTGCCCACCGCCCCAGGCCTTCACTCTCCCAGCAGGTGCACGGACACGAGGCGCGCCTCCTCTGGGCTCTGACGGCAGCCTCTGCACATGTCTAGGGCAGTGTGGCACTGGCCTACCCACCACGGACCCTGTGCCTTCACCGTCTTCCTAACCTAGTACACAGTGGACGCTCATGCCGGTAATGCAAATTCTGAACCGAACCTAGAGACTTCTGGACTGAGCAGGTACAAAAATAACAGGTAGGAAATGATGGGATAGAATTCTGTAGAAGTGGGCACATCAAACCATCACAAAGGGCTCTTCTTTTCATGTCTTTACTAATTAGTGAAAATATATAATCCTCAGGCTAATACAGAAGCTCTCCAAGTAGGACGTCATATTAGAGGAGATCACAAAAATCAGTGTTAAGAAAGGACACAACCACACACTCCAATAACAATTGGACAAACTAAGCTCCAAACATGACAAACAGAGCCCCAGACATTGAATACAGACCCATACAAATGTTTAGATCTCTGCGCAATACACAAAGTAAGAATGAATCCTCGTAGAGTACATTCACTCAGGATTTATTAAGTGCCAATCATGTGCCTTGGTGCTGTTATGTAGGAGGGATGCAAAGATGAATAGAATATCAGATGTATTCCCTGGACTCAGGAATGCACAACCACCAGGGCATGAGGGGCAGGTGAACAGACAATCGCCATATAAGGAGACCTGCACTGTACTAGCCACAGCCACACAATCTGAGTGCAATGAAGACACAGAGGGGAGAGGATCTAGCAGCAACAACAAAAATGTAGAACTGACCCTGCCATTATACAAAGAGTAGCCCTATGTAAGGGGTGAATGATAGGAAACTTGTCACTCGAAAAGCAGAATTAATTACACATACAACTTTAATAGAAAACCAAATGGATCGTTCACTAGATGCGCAAGTTGAAATGATGTGTTATATGATAAAAACCCTTGCTTTTTTGAGGGAAAATGTTGAGGAAACTAAGCAAGTATATCACTAAATTAAGAAGAAAAACATAGGTAAATGAAAAGATAACACCACTGGCCAGGTAGCTCAGCTGGCTAGAGCTCTGATGCTACACCAAGTTTGCGAGTTCATTCTCCGGTCAGGGCACAGACAAGAAGCAATCAATGAATGCATGAATGAGTGGAACAACAAATTAATGTTTCTCTCTCTCTTTCTCTCTTTCCCCCACCTTCTCTCTCTCTAAAATCAATAAGTAAAAATTTTAAAAATGTAATCTATGAAACTGCAAAGCTACCAATTCACCATCATAAAAGTAAGGGCGACTAAAGGATTCCAGCATAAATGGAAAACATTAGGAAGTACATTTGAATGTGCTGAACCAAATATGCACTGCTAGCTAAGGGTGGGAAGCCTGTAAGGACTCAGAGGCCATCATGAGTTAAATAGGATGCCTTTGAAAATGTCCTGGGCATTTCTTCCTTCAGACAAGCAGGCAAGTACCTAACTTTCCCATGTAAATTTCTGAGAAAGCCACTTGACTTGCTTAAATCACCACACAAGATACACTTAATCTTTGTGAAAACCAGAGGACAAATGAGAATAAGAGGAACCACCAAAAGGGGGTCACATGAAAAGAAAGAATAAAAAATCATCTTTGGTATTTGCTAATAAAACTTGGTAGCCATCGAAGGAATCTCAGTTCCTGAAAAGAAAAGAAGGGGGACTAATAGTAACTGAAGGCTTACTCTAGTTCAAAGGCTGTTCTGACTACTTTTACATATGTCATTGAATCCTTTCCATCTACAATCCTGTATTTCTCCATTTCATTGAAACAAATGAGAAAACTAAAGCTCTAAATGCACAAGACACTTACTCAAATTCATCCAACCATCACACAGTGCTTGTGAACTTTCCACTACCCCTCATATCTTAAACGAGGTTGATGCTTAATAAATGCATGGATTAATAGGTATACAGCCTATATAAGCAAAATAGTTTTATTAAGTGAACCCAAGTTTGTAAACGTCTCAGTTAGCATGTTACGTAAAGGACATACGATTCTTGGAACATAAGACTCTTAAACTTGTTTTTGCTGTGACAAATCCTCTTAGAAATGAATAACATGGTGGAAGACAGCTACTGTACTGAAGCTGATAAATTAACATATTTGAAACTTTCTACCTTTTTACTGTGGTAGCCACGAGCTCTTCCTAAGAATGTCCTGTCACCTCAGGATATTATATACTCAATTTTCTGAAAGGAGATCCCTCCAAATTCTTCACTATGATCACTTAAGATTTATATTGTAGTTCGAGTATGTTCACTTTATCTGCAATAAAAACCCCGATGGGAAAAATGCCTTAAATAGCAATGTCATGAGGAGCAGGGACACTTGCCAGCAGCAGATCTATCTGCAGCCCAGCTGTCTTGCCATCCCCAGCAGGAAGCAGCTCCCAGTCTCAGTGACATGGCACAGGCTTCTTGGGAATAACCTTTAATACTTCGTCTGCTCCCTCCCAAAGCTCTTTAGACTTCAAGTAGGTTAAAAATATCAAGATAAGGCCTTTGGTCAAAACTTTTAGAATAAGTTGTTAAAGAGTACACACACAGTATATTGTGTTTAGTACTGGGAAAA